AGGAGCATATTTAGGCGACTTAGTTAGCTTGTTTTCATACATTTATGTTGTTAGTTCATAGGTATTTTAGTAGTTTAAGCTAGTTTCGTGTGTTTTTAGGTTCATATGGCTAAGGAAGCAAAAAGGTGCATTTTGGAGCAAAATTGGACTTGGAATGGATAGCATATGCTTGGAGCAAAAGGAATGGACGAAATTGAAGACCTAAAGATGTTAGGATTCCTAATCAAAGAAGGATTCCTAATCAAAAGAGGAATCCTAGTCAAAGAAGGTTTCCTACTTGAAGTAGGAAAGTTAAGCCAAGGTTTCCTATTTTGGTTTAACCTTTCCTAATCCTAAAAGACCTTATGTTTCAGCAACATTAAAGACTCCTATGCATTCTAGGACACAAACCAAGCCTTCCTTGCACCCTTATGGTCCTTGCTGTGGCACACTTCACACATCACTTCCTTGCCGTGCAAGGGAAGTACCAATTTCCTATTCTATGTCACAAAATCACATTCCTTTTCACCCCATTCTCAGCCGCGCCTTACATACCTTTTCTATCCCAAATCCTTGCCTAATTTCAGCATTAAATCACATTCCCTTTTATACAATTTAATGCCGCAAGTTTCCTTCCCCTTTCCCTTTGATTTCTGATTTTATATCTCATTTTCCTTATGGATTTGGGGTTAAATCCTGTCCTAAACGATGTAATAAAACTTAGGATTATTTCCCTCAAATAAATACCAATGCTGCTGGCGCCGTTGCCAGGGATTAGCAAAATTGCTAATCCCTTTTGTTTGTGTCGTGTCAAAGTGAGTCTCAAGGTCAAGTGTGCCGTGTGTTTTCTTTTCTTTTGTGTCTTTTTGTGGTGTTTGCCGTGCCCTTTAAAGTGGTTACTGATTTGTTTTTGTTATTTGTCTCAGGTACTAGTTTATGACTCGTCGTTCTCAACCCATTCGTGCAAACATATTGGAATTTGACGACGATTTTGAACGAACTTTGAGAAGAAAGAGGAAGCAACCATAACCTAATCCACCTAGTTCGAGTTCTGAGTCCGAATCTGAATTTGAAGAAGAAGAAAGCATGGTGGTGGACAATCGAACAATCAAAGAACTTTCGGCCTCGAGGTTGCACAATGCCGTGCCTATTTGCATTCAATATCCTAGGGCAGCCCTGGACAAGACCGATGAGTTTGAATTAAAGTCAAGCTTGCGGCATCATATTCCCAAATACCATGGGCTGTCCATGGAAGATCCAAACAAGCATTTGAAGGAGTTTGAAGTTGTATGCTCAAGCATGACACCCATTAACGTGGATGGTGATAGGAGCATATTTATGCTACTTAGTTATGTTGTTTCCTTGCATTTAGTTACTTAACTACTATCTATTTTAGTCTTTTAAGCTATTTTCGTATGTTTTTAGGTCCTAATGGCAAAAGGAGCAAGAAAGTGCATTTTGAGGCTATTTGGAGCAGTTTTGGGCATGGATTGGATAGCTTAACTATGGAGCAATGTGGATGGACGAAATTGAAGTCAAGAGATGCTAGGAAAGGCTAAAAATCTAGAGAAAGAAGTCCAAATGCAAAGAAGATAAGGAAAGAGCAAGAAATAAGGAACCTTATCCAAATTTCCTTATCTTATCCAAACCTTATCCAACCTTATCTTATCTTATCCTATCCTAATCTTTTCCTACCTTAATTCCAACTTCAAAGAGGACTCCTTTTCACATTAAATCACCTAAATATCAAGTTCTAGAAGCCCTATTTTCGTGCATTAAGTTTATGCCACATGTAACCCTTCTAGAAGTTCTAGAATTTGCCACAAGGACCATTCCTTGTCCTCCTTGGAATCTGATTGAAAGTATCCTTGTTCTTTGGTGATTTGGAGTCCTAATTCCTCTCCTTTTCAGCCCAAATTCGTGCCTCCCCTTCACCCTATAAATACTTGATGCCACAATACTCAAAAACCACCACCCTCTACCACAAATTCACACCACACCATCCACCACACCTCAAGAGCCTAAATTCACACAAATCCCCATTGTTGGCAGCAAGGAAGGAAGAAGGAGCCACTTGGAGTGTTTCTAGGTGTATTCTATCTTTGTTTTTAATGTTTAAGTTTAATTATCTTTGTTTTGCGAACATGTGGAACTAAACTTGTTTTAGGTAGGGGAGACTTTGAAACCATTATTATATTTGCAATATGAATTGATTAATTCCAGTTGTTATTTCATAAATTGTGAAAGCAATTTACATAACCGTTTGATGGATAACTTATTCTTGTTTGTTGATTAAGGGTGCACACTTAGTTTGCATGCATGAATTTGGGGCTAGAATATAAGGGAGTTTCACATAATCGTTACAAACTTATATTCACAAGTAGTTAAGGTTGTTTTCACAATCATGTTAAGTAAATTCCTAGCATGAGTATCATGATGTCATAGTTACAAGTGCTTTGTCAATACTTATGATTTTCATAGAACGTAATGATCTTTGATTGTATCTCTATTATGATGTCATGTAGGGGACTTTTGAAGAATGCTTTGGGTTGTCGTATGATGTCATCCAATCCAATAACTTAAGGAAAATCTGAGGGTTAATTAGTGATGTCACGGTTAATATGGGGTGTTGAGGTTCATGGTTTATCGAAAAGCAACTGGAAATCAATTTGTATGCAAGTGTGTCATGTGTGGAGAAGAACCCTCTAGCTATCTAATCATCCATCGTTTTTCCCAAATTCGTCCAAATCCTATTCAAGTCTTTTAGTTACTTGTTTTTATCTTAAATTCGTCAAAAACCCAATCCCCTTTATTTAGTTGTGTCAAATCTGTCCTAATAAGTGTTTTTGAGTGTTTTGAGTCAAAACCAAACCTATTTTCGTCCAAGTTGAGTCTTAGAGTCTAGTTTGAGTCTTTTTGATTGTTTTGTGTTGTTTAGAGTCTTTTAAGTTTATTTTGAGTCATATAAGTTTAGTTAAGAGTCTTTTGAGTTTGTTTAAGTGTTTTGAAGCATATTTTTGTATCTTTGAGTCAGTTTTCATTAGATTAGCAATCCCTCCTAATCCCCGGCCTAGAACGATCCCTACTTATATCTATACTACAATTGTCAAAAAGAGGGTTTAATTTGTGTGCTATTATATATCACATCAGATGGGAATATTTTGAAGATGAAAGCCTTTCCATTCTCTCTTTTGGAAAAGGCTAAAGATTGGCTATGCGAATTGGCGCCCGGAACCATTACTTCTTGGGAAAGTATGAAACGAGCGTTCTTGGAGAAATTCTTCCCAACTTCAAGAGTAATTCTTTTGAGGAAGAAGATTAGCGGAATTCAACAAAACCAAGGAGAATCCTTTCTAGCATATTATGAGCGTTTCAAAGCCCTTGTTGCATCTTGCCTGATGAGTATATTTTATATTATATATTTTACCCTATTCTTAGTATATTTTGGTTAATAATTTGGAAGAATTTTGATACTTTGAATTATATTTCCAATATAGGATTTTCGACTTCCTCTAGAGCAAAACATGGTCAAATGGACGAATTTTGGAGTAATTCCAATTGGAGGACGTTCGTGAGTCACTTAGCTTGATCGTGTCAAAATATCAGATTTTTCTACCAAACGAATATTTTCTGGTAATAAAATAAAGGAGCAATGTGCAGTGTTGGAATAGTGACGTTTCGGGCTTGAATTGCATTTTTGGAGCCCAAGATGACCTCGGATGGGTTTATGGATTTCTGGAGATGTGTTCAGAATGTTCTTATCTTTAAAACAAGCTATCTTGGGCCGGATTTGGAGGAGATTTGAGGCTAAAACGTGGCTGAACAATTTCTGTGCAGTTTTTCCTAGGTTAATTAGGAATTTATTTTCTATTTTATTTTATTATTATTTAGTTTCTTAGTGGGAATAAAATACTTGAGGGTTAGGGTTTGTGTGTTAGCTTTAGGGAGATATTAAAAGGGTTTGGCCGTTCTTATTTTGGAGGCTTTTCTTTTATGCAACTTTGGGAAGACAGAAAATTTGGTTAGGGTTCTTGGAGATTTTCTACTTTAAGGTGTTTTCATTCCTTTTATTCTTAATAATAATATGTTCTATGATTTCAATTATGAATATGCGTAACTAATTCCTTTTGCTAGGGTGAAGCCGTAAGCCTTAGCATGAATATGTGATTTTTATTTAATTGCTTATGATTGATTGCATGCATACCTTGAATTATTGATCACCGTAATTAAAACTATCTAATTGTCTTAATGCCTGATCACCATTAGGATCTTTAGAAAAGTAATTTGATGCAATTTTGGTCGGAAGGTTCCCTGAAATTGATGCTGGCTTCTTGTGATTAATAATTGTAATTTCACTTAAGATGAACATCACATCTTAAGGGTTGCATGGTTTTTCAAAGGGTTTTCATAAAGCATAATGAGTCTCTCATGTTCAGATTTGATCCGAACGTTCGGACGGGTTGCATGTTAGATATACGTTCTATGTTGGAGGTTCCAAGTAGAATATAAACTAGGAAAACCTAACCTTCAAAGTGGCATGTATAGATCATAAGTAATTGATAAAAATACATAGGATTGCTAGGTGATGGTGAAACCCTAGTGTTTTCTTAATTTGATTTTTCCAAAACAGTTTTATTTTCCTTTCATCTTTAATATTGCATATTAGTTTATTTTTATTAATTAAATTCGTTTTAATTTAAGTAAGTTATAAAACCAATCATCTCAACTTTCTACTTTACAGTAATTAATTGAAATTTAGTTTGTTTCGAATTATTTAATAATCCCTGTGGAGAACGACCTTGCGAGAACCGCTTACACTACAACAACCTTGTCATTCTTGCAAGTAATATAGGAGTTTTTAACCCATTTGCATGTGTGGTAAAATCTTTATCAAGAAATTGACGCCGTTGCCGGGGATTATTTAAAATAATTCGTTCTAATCAAATTTACAATTAGTTATTGCTTTCTATACACAAAAAAAAAATAAAAAATTACATTTCGTTTTCATTTTATTTTTATAGATTACAGCAGTACTGCAGATTACAACAATCTATGCATGGTCAGAACTAGATCAGCAGCACAAAAATTGATTCCATTTTATCCAGAACCTGAGCAATCTTTAGGGAGGAGACGCAGGAAACAAAATCTGCAGTGGGTTCCTTCCCTGCAGGGGACTTTTCTACAATCTCATTTTTCTGAGGATCTGCATAGTGAAAAAACAATGGCATTTGTTATTCCAGAGGGTGGTCAACCATTAGGGGATTCATTAACAGCTCACACCACTAACATACCAAGTTGCATTACTTATCCGGAAGTGGAGGAATGGTCTGCATTCGAAATAAAGCAACACATATTGAATATTCTACCTACATTTCATGGGTTATCAACCGACGATCCTAACATGCACATTGCAGAATTTTTAATGGGATGCAAGAATATTTTGGTGAAAGGATTTTCAGCCGAATCTATTAAGCTCCGTTTATTTCCATACACTCTGAAAGATCAAGCAAGGAGATGGCTCCTCACACTTCCATCTGGAAGCATTAGCACTTGGAACCAACTCAGTGAAAAATTCTTAAGCAAGTATTATCCAGCTTCAAAGACTCTTGACATGAGAACTCAGATTTTATCTTTTGCACAAAAACCAAACGAAGAGTTTCATGAAGCGTGGGAACGGTTCAAAGAGTTGATTAGAAAATGTCCACATTCTGGTATTAACAGTACTGATCAAATGCATATATTTTTCCGAGGACTAAATATGACTACAAAAACTCTTGTCAATGCTTCATGCGGAGGTTCGTACAAGGATAAAAATGCACAAGAGGCTTGTTTGTTATTTGAAAAAATGGCAACAGATACACAGCAATGGGCAATTGAGCAGCCACAATCTAGGTCGGTTTTTGAGATGTCTAATGGTTCTCCATATGTGTCAGCACAAATTGAAAAAATGGAGAAAAAGCTTGAAAGATTTGATGCAAAATTTGACATGTTATTACAAAGAATTCCAGGTTCACAGGTTGCTGTACAGCAGCCCTTACAAGCTGCCTGCAGTATTTGCAGCATGAAAACCCATGATTTTTTGAGCTGTCCACATAAAGCTGCTTATCCGAAGTTTGCAGCGGAACAAGTTAATGCATTTAATAATTTTCAGCGTCCCCGAAATGACCCGTATTCAAATTTCTACAACCCTGGTTGGAGAGATCATCCAAATTTGAAGTGGGATAGAGATGAACATGCAAAGCCACAATTTCAACAACAGGTACAGCAACCTGCTGCACCTAAGGCTACTTGGGAGATTGCAATTGAAAAATTAGCAATTACTACAAATGCAAGATTTGCACAGACCAATCAAGAAATCCAAAATATGCATGCAACAATGAAAAATATGGAACAACAAATTGGGCAGATTGCATTGCAGGTTTCAGAAAGAGCACCGGGTACATTTCCTAGTCAAACAGTACCTAATCCAAGAGGACGAGAAGAATGCAACGCTATACGTACTTTACGATCTGGCAAAAGTTATGACAACAGACATGAAAATTATGCCGGAAATTCACAGGCAGCACCACAACCACAAATAGATTCGGGAAATGTTGAAAAATCTAATATTTTTGCAGATTCTGCAAATTCTGGGCAGCCACAAGACAGATCCGAAAATACTGCAGAAGCTACCACAAAAACTGCAGAACGTGTTTATGTGCCTCCAATGCCTTATCCTGAAAGGTTGAGGCCTAAAGCTAAAGATCAACAGTTGACAGATTTTATGAAGACTTTGGCTAAAGTTCAGATTAATCTACCATTAATTGATGCAATTAAGAACATTCCATCTTATGCCAAGTTTTTGAAAGACGTTTGCACAAAGAAAAAGAAGCTTCTGGATTCTGAAAAAGTGATTCTAACAGAACAGTGCAGTGCGGTCTTATTGCATAAATTGCCTCCAAAGAAGAAAGATCCAGGGAGTTTTACTATCTCTTGCACCATTGGAAATTGTGATTTTAGTAGTACTTTAATTGACTTAGGTGCTAGTGTTAACTTAATGCCTTATTCTGTTTTTAAACGTTTAGGTGAAGGAGAGCTGAAGCCAACCTCCAACATTATTCAATTGGCTGACCGTTCAATTACCTACCCTAGAGGAGTCATTGAAGATGTTATTGTTAAGGTTGACAATCTATATTTACCAGCTGATTTTATGGTGTTTGATAGAAGCATATTTAGGCGACTTACTTAGCTTGTTTTCGTGCATTTATATTGTTAATTCATAGTTGTTTTAGTCGTTTAAGCCATTTTCGTGTGTTTTTAGGTTCATATGGCTAAGGAAGCAAAAAGATGCATTTTGGAGCAAAATTGGACTTGGAATGGATAGCTTATGTTTGGAGCAAAAGGAATGGACGAAATTGAAGGATTCCTAATCCATTGCAGCCACATGCATTCACATGCATAAATCAGCCACATGCATCTCCCATCACCATATCAGATTTCCATCATATTCACATGCATTCCATCCTTTAAAACATTGCACATGCACTCCCTTTAATTAATTAAGCCACATGCACTCCCATCCATTTCATCATTGCAGCCAACACATGCTTTCACATGCATTTTCAGATTGTCCCCTTGCACATGCAGCCACATATTCATTGCACATGCAATTTCAACCCACATGCATCCTTTAATCATTCAAACATGCAGCCACATTCCCTCCTAGCTGTCATGTTCCCCCCATTTCACCTATAAATAAGCATTCATTCTCATTCATTCTCATTCACTCTTCCATATTCCAGAAATTCGTCAAAACCTCTCCACACCCTTGCAGCAGCCACCAAAACACTTTTCTCCTCCATTGCAGCCACTCCAACCACTCCCCAAACCATTCACACCATCAAACTATCCTTAGACCTTGTACTACAACGAAGAGGAAGATAAGAGGGCCTAAACGTTCATACAATTCAAGTTTGAGTTGTTGGAATGTTTAGGTGTTTCTTTGATTTCAATGTTTAATTTCAATGCTCTTTGTTTTGTACGAATGAGGAATGGATGATAAGAGGGCCTAAACGTTCATACAATTCAAGTTTGAGTTGTTGGAATGTTTAGGCGTTTCTTTGATTCTCTTTGTTTTGTACCATGAGGAACTAAACCCCCCTTGGTTAGGGGGTGATTCGAATATATGTTTATGCTTGCATTTTGATTTGAATACTTCTAATTGCGTTTCATAAGTTGTGGATTCAATTCGTTTAACTGTTTGATTGATAACTTATTTATGTATGTTCATTGAGAGTGCACACTTAATTTTCATGCATGAATATGACGCTAGAATATAAGTGAGTTTCACCTAATCGTTATGAACTTATATTCACAAGTAGTGGAGGTTGCTTATAAACAATCGCGTTAAATGAATTCTTGGCATAAGTTTCATGCAATCCATAGTAACGAATGCCTCGTCAACACTTATAATTTTCATAGAGCGTAATGATTCTTGCTTGTACCTCTTCTATGCATTCATGTTGGGGACTTGTGGGGAATGTTTTGGGTTGTCGTATGCAATCATCCAATTCAATAACGTTAGGAAGATTTGAAGGTTAATTAGTGCATCACGGTTAACTTGGGGTGTTGAGTATCATAGTTTATTGAAATGCAATTGGAAATCATTTTATTATGCAAGTATAACATGTATGGAGATGAACCCCTTAGCCATTCTATCATCCATTCATTCCATTCCATCAAATTCGTTTTACAATCTGTTTAGTTTATTAACTTGTTTTGTTATTTCAATTTTCGTATAAATCTAAATCCCCCTTTACTTTAATGTCCAATTTAGTTAGAAATCAATTTAGTTTGTGCTTTTAAGTGTTTTGATTCATTTTATTTCCCAATTTCGTCCAGATTCACCAAAGTGCTCAAAACTGCCCAGAAAGTGATTTTAAGGCAGTTTTGAGTGTTTTGGGTGATGTTTGAGTCTTTTGGTTTGTTTTAATGTTTTAAGTGTTTAGTTTTACATTCTTTAAGTTAGTTTAGTGTTTTATATTGTGTTTTTACGTTCTTGAGTCAAGTTATTACTTAATTTCGTCCAAATTTGTGTTTGTGCTCAAATCTGCCCAGAAAGTGGTTTTTAGGCAGATTTGAGTGTGTTTGTGTTGTTTTGAGTCTTTTTGTTTGTCTTAGTGTTTTAAAGTTTAGTTTTGCATTCTTTGAGTCTAGTATAGTGTTTCATATTGTTATTTTACGTTTTTGAGTCAAATCCAAGTGGTTAACAATCTCTCCTAATCCCCGGTCCAGAACGATCCCTACTTGCACCTATACTACAATTTGACGAAAAGAGGGTTTAATTTGTGTGCGTATAAATCACGCATCAGTGTTGGACATGGATGAGGATTTGACAACACCCATCATTTTGGGCCGCCCATTCCTAGCAACAGCCCAGACTCTTATTGATGTTGAAGCCGGAACTCTAACATTCCGGGTTGAAGATCAAACGGTTGTTTTTAGGTTGTTTGAAGCTACCACACATCCATGTGATAAGCAAGAATGCATGCGTGTTGATGCATTAGATGGTTTGCCTTGTGCAAAATTTGTGACCAAATCATCAATTGACAATCTGCCCATAAAGACTCAAAATGTGATTCGTGAGTGTGATAGTAAAGCACATCAACACAAAGTTCAATTGCTTGAAGTGCAAAAATCAAAAACAGATCCGAGCAACCAAATGGACCAAAAATACCAAAATGTCAAGAGCAAGAATAAAAAGTTGCATGGTAGTCCAAGTTATAAAAAAATACAGCCTGGAAACAAAGTATGGTTGTTAAGTTCAAATTTCAAGTCAATTCCAGGGAGACAAGAGTCTCGGTGGAAGGGCCCTTATATGGTGCAGCAGGTTTTTCATAACGGTAACGTGGACATTGAAAAAGAGGGCAAGGGTTGTGTGCTCAAGGTCAAGAAGTATTTACTAAAGCTATGCATAGGGAAATTTGGTGCAAGCGAGTCTTTGACTCTGAAGGAACCAGTGATCTGACTACCAGACTTATGCGACGTCTAGCTACAGACTTAAAATAAAGCGCTTATTGGGAGGCAACCCAATTCTCTAACTTTTTCTTTATTATCTTCCATTTTTATTTCATTACTTTCAGTTTCAAGCTGCATTTTCTTTCTTAGGGTAAAAAAAAAAAAAATTAAATAAAAAAAAAAATTAAAAAAGAAAGAAAACAAAAATTATTTGCATTTACTTGTTTTATTTCAGTTACTGATAGCATCTTCTACATGTTATCTCTGAAAACTTACATCACTTGATTTTTTTTTATGCAGCCAGCACACAAGAAAAACAAGAATTAATGCACAGAGAGATTATTTCAGACGGAATCATGCATCCAGTAGTAGATCCACATCAATCATCAACCACATCTGTAATACACAAGCAGGGACGGGATGTTATACCTCTCTATTTTGCTACGCGACCATTCTTCCTTGAAGGCCGGTAGTTTGGTCAGCCAAATGTGTCTTTGCCAATCTGAGGTCATCCCTATAACACAACAATCAAGTGTATGAGTTACTGTGGAAATGTTCATATATCAACAAATGTGGGTACTTTTGGAATTTATCGCTTTTACATTTGAAAATGCCACAGATGCCAGTATTTAAGTTTGGGGGTAGATGAGGAAGCACATTCAGAAATGGGGTCTCCTCACTGGTGGACAACAACATTTTCACCTTTGCAAAACCCGGATCTACAATGTCGTAGCTGGTTGATTTCAGGTTTTAGCAGAGACAAGCGAGTGGTGTGGATCAGCTCAGATTTGCAACGACTGGGGGTCCTCACATAGATGAAAACACATGCATGTGTTAGTTTACCACATAAATCTGAAAAGAAGAAAAAAAAAAAAAATACAGACACACAGGCAGGAGGGATTTACTTTCATGCATCTCAGTTTTCATGCTTACTCCACCATGGATGGGTTAGAGAGACACGGAAGTGTGTATGCTCCTTGGTTTTTGGTTGCAGAACGAGTGAAGAAACTGCTGCATATAGGAGGTTTGTACAAATGGGCGCTGGACTTGAGAGGAAATGGAGAAAAGAAGCCCTTTCCAGATTTTTTTAGAGAGAAAGAGGGCAACGAGGAATAGGTTTGAAATGAGAGTAGTGAGAGATGTCTCTCATTTTTCTAGAGAGAACAAGGGGCTTCGGGGTTTACAACAAATAATATTATTATCCTTCTGCATAGGGGATGGGAATGGACAGAAGAGAGCCGTTTGGCTCTGGCTCGAGGCTAGTGAAAGGGAATCCAATGCGCATTCAAGAATAGCTAGGTTTTTTTTTTCAAATGACAGATCAGCTACTACACCAGCTTATATTGTAGCTGTTGCTAGGTTTTGACACAAGTGTGGACTTGTACGTGTTGGTCAGCACGCCTTTGCTGGTCCCAACTACCAGGTCCTGCTTTCAAATCCCCAAAGTGTCCAGTAGTGTTTTTGTTCTCCACATTTTTGGTCAACACACCTTGGCAAATTCACAGTTTCCTCTTCAAATCTCTGGTGTGTAGTTTCTTTTTCCTTTTCTTTTCTTTCCTGTTTTCTGTTTTATTTTTTTTTTCTTTTCTTGTTTCTTTTTCCTATTTTGTTTGCTTAGGGTATTTTCTTTATCTTTGATATTTGTTTTACATTTTCTAGGATTTAGTAGTTTTGTTTCTGTTCTTGTCTCTTCTATTTATTTTCCACACCTTGAGGACAAAGTGTGAATTAAGTTTGGGGGTGGGAAATAACATTTTAGGTTTTTAATTTTTGTGTCAAGTTAAAATTTTCATTCTTTTTAAGTTAATATCCATAGATTATTTTAAACGTTATAACAAATGGACATGGTGAAGATTAATCCCACATTAGAGTCTTTTCTACTTATCGTTGCTTAGACACTAATTCATGCATTATACTTTGACAACTTGCACATTCACATCAACATGGCTTGTGGGGAGTGAGATTGAAACACTTACTTTTAGTCTAAGTTTCACTTTTAATTTTTGTTCTACATAAAGTAAAGTTAGTTTGTGTTATAAAGTAATAATTGTCTCACCCGAGACTTTGCCTAGTAACCGGGCCAGTCCTGCCTAATCAGCAGTGATTCTCGCGTCAAACAGTAGAGTTTTGGCATGGGGCAGGGTGGTTAGTTGGTTTCGTAGCCTTTTCAACTCGGGTTAATAAGTCCTTAGGGGTGTTCTACACCTAGTGCCCTAAAGCCCTAGTGGTTTGGGAGTCATTGACTTAAAGCTCGCTACATGGGTTGGATCAAAAGCTTAAGTGAACCAACATTGCACGACTACTACTGTTACAATTAAAAAAAAAAAAAAAAAAAAAGATTTATATGAAAGAAAAAAAAAAAAAAGATCAAGAAGAAAAAGAAAAATAGTTATATTTAAGTTAGTATGTGTAAAATAAAGAAGGACAAGAGGTAAGGGTTTTAGTCGAGTCTCCTTAGCTATGTTGATTCACTTTACACCAAAGGAAGTTCGTGAATTCTTTTCTAATTGATTCTAAATGGCTTAGACTCTGTGGTGGGATTGGTTGGAACTTTTGAAAAGATGTTCTAATTTTTAACATTTTCTATGGATTGCAACTTTGAAGGTGAAATTTTTTGTGAGTTAGTTTTAGTTAAGTTCTAGTTTGTTAGTGTTTATTGTTGTTTTCTAGTTTTGTTTTGCTTGAGGACAAGCAAAAAGCTAAGTTTGGGGGTATTTTGATGAGTATATTTTATATTATATATTTTACCCTATTCTTAGTATATTTTGGTTAATAATTTGGAAGAATTTTGATACTTTGAATTATATTTCCAATATAGGATTTTCGACTTCCTCTGGAGCAAAACATGGTCAAATGGACGAATTTTGGAGTAATTCCAATTGGAGGACGTTGGTGAGTCACTTAGCGTGATCGTGTCAAAATATCAGATTTTTCTACCAAGCGAATATTTTCTGGTAATAAAATAAAGGAGCAATGTGCAGTGCTGGAATAGTGACGTTTCGGGCTTGAATTGCATTTTTGGAGCCCAAGATGACCTCGGATGGGTTTGTGGCCTTCTGGAGATGTGTTCAGAATGTTCTTATCTTTAAAACAAGCTATCTTGGGCCGGATGTGGAGGAGATTTGAGGCTAAAACGTGGCTGAACAATTTCTGTGCAGTTTTTCCTAGGTTAATTAGGAATATATTTTCTATTTTATTTTATTATTATTTAGTTTCTTAGTGGGAATAAAATACTTGAGGGTTAGGGTTTGTGTGTTAGCTTTAGGGAGATATTAAAAGGGCTTGGCCGTTCTTATTTTGAGGAGGCTTTTCTTTTATGCAACTTTGGGGAGACAGAAAACTTGGTTAGGGTTCTTGGAGATTTTCTACTTTAAGGTGTTTTCATTCCTTTTATTCTTAATAATAATATGTTCTATGATTTCAATTATGAATATGCGTAACTAATTCCTTTTGCTAGGGTGAAGCCGTAAGCCTTAGCATGAATATGTGATTTTTATTTAATTGCTTATGATTGATTGCATGCATACCTTGAATTATTGATCACCGTAATTAAAACTATCTAATTGTCTTAATGCCTGATCACCATTAGGATCTTTAGAAAAGTAATTTGATGCAATTTTGGTCGGAAGGTTCCCTGAAATTGATGCTGGCTTCTTGTGATTAATAATTGAACATCACATCTTAAGGGTTGCATGGTTTTTCAAAGGGTTTTCATAAAGCATAATGAGTCTCTCATGTTCAGATTTGATTCGAACGTTCGGACGGGTTGCATGTTAGATATACATTCTATGTTGGAGGTTCCAAGTAGAATATAAACTAGGAAAACCTAACCTTCAAAGTGGCATGTATAGATCATAAGTAATTGATAAAAATACATAGGATTGCTAGGTGATGGTGAAACCCTAGTGTTTTCTTAATTTGATTTTTCCAAAACAGTTTTATTTTCCTTTCATCTTTAATATTGCATATTAGTTTATTTTTATTAATTAAATTCGTTTTAATTTAAGTAGGTTATAAAACCAATCATCTCAACTTTCTACTTTACAGTAATTAATTGAAATTTAGTTTGTTTCGAATTATTTAATAATCCCTGTGGAGAACGACCTTGCGAGAACCGCTTACACTACAACAACCTTGTCATTCTTGCAAGTAATATAGGAGTTTTTAACCCATTTGCATGTGTGGTAAAATCTCTATCATTGCCCACAACACCAAATGAAGGAAGAGCTTCTAATTCAATACTTTTACGAAGGACTCCTTCCAATTGAGAGACAAATGCTAGATGCTTCAGCAGGAGGTGCTTTGGTTGACAAAACACCAGTGGCTGCCAAGGTCCTAATTGCAAATCGAGCCTTGAATGCACAACAATACGAGGGAGTTGGACAAAGAGACCCCCCACGGTAACAACAAATGAATGAGGTAAGTGCAATTTCTGAAATTCAATCTCAATTAGCTAATCTCACTATGCTTGTGTCTCAGGTTGTTGAAGGATCCAAAATGCAAGGTGCGGCCATATGTGGAATGTGCTCTATGCAAGGACATCTCAATGATCAATGTCCTCAATTGATAGAGAATGGAGGATGGGAGAATGCCTATGCCGTGGGGTACCAAAGTCAAAATCAACCAAGGAATGATCCATACTCAAATACATACAATCCGGGATGGAGAGATCATCCAAATTTCAAGTGGAGGGAGCCTCAACAACCTCAACAACAAGGAGGAATTCGACAGCCACCCCCTGGGATATATCAAAGGCCATTTGCACAATCTCAACCTCAATCACAAACTGCCCAACAAAACTCAGGTTCGCTAATTGATAATGATCAAACTTTTCAATTACTAACTTCTATATTGCAGGGATTACAAAATCAAAATAATAGAATAGCGAACCAAGAAAAAGAGATGAGTGACATAAAGAAGCAAATAGGGCAGATTTCAGAGTTCCTTGGGCAGTTTAGAGAACAAGGCAAACTTCCTAGTTTAACCATTGTGAATCCAAAAGGAAGCTTTGAAACCGCCAAGGCCATTAAGTTGAGAAGTGGTAAGGAGCTTGGAAATCATCCAAAACTATCCAAACAAAGCCTTAATGAGGAGGAAAAGCTGCTGCAAGAAGAAGAACATGGAGCAAAGGCCACGGCAAGGGAAGCCAAAACCTTGCCGCAACCCTCTAGTGCACCAAAACCGTCTTAAATCACCAAGGTGAGTCCAAATTCGAATTTGTCTACTAGTTCTATTCCACTAAATGTGCCCTTTCCTAGCAGATTTATGCAATCTAAGATAGAGGAGGATGAAAAAGACATCCTGGAGATGTTTAGGAAGGTGCATGTCAATATCCCGCGCCTTGATGCAATAAAGCAAATTCCAAAGTACGCTAAGTTTTTGAGAAAGATTTGTACAACAAGGAAATGGATACGGGAGAAAGAGGTGGTACATGTAAGTGAGAATGTCTCTGCAATGTTGCAAAGAAAGCTGCCACCTAAATGCAAAGATCCAGGTAGTTTCACTATCCCTTGTGTAATTGGTAATACAAGGTTCGAACATGCTATGCTAGATTTTGGTGCATCAATTAATGTCATGCCATACTCTGTTTATGCATCTATGAATCTAGGAGAGCTTAAAAATGATGTTGTTATTATTCAATTAGCCGATCGATCTAATGCATACCCGAGAGGAGTTTTGGAAGATGTTTTGGTGCAAGTAGACCATTTGAATTTTCCTGCAGATTTCTATGTGCTTGACATGGAGGATTCAACCCACTCTCCACCATCGCCACTCTTACTTGGACGACCTTTCATGAAAACAGCCCACACGAAGATTGACGTGGCCAAGGGAGCCTTAACTATGGAGTTTGGTGGTGATATGATTAACTTTAAAGTTTCTGAATCCATTGAGAATCCTAATGATTTCGTTCTTGTTTTGCCATTGGTATAATTAAAAATATAGGGCAGGAATGTTCAACACCAATCAAGAAGGATGCATAACCACCATCGATGAAGGAATTGGAGGGGAGCACAAGGAGCACGCCACTACCCTACAAACACCCAATCTGGCCGTGCCTAAGGATAAAATTGGCGAGATGGTGGCTGCCCTAGGGGCATTGCCACAACATCCTAGTAAGTCTCCAATCCCAATTCCAATTCCCATTTCAACTAATAGGTTGTTACCTTCTTTGGTGCAGGTTCCAAATCGATTTCAAGGTGGTGGGAGCGTCTACATGGACTATAGGAACCAAAACACCACAA